GACAAAACTTTCTTCTTGTGGCGCGCTTAAGCCCTGAGTTGGGGGCTTAAGCGCCCATAGGCCGAGACTTTTTGCGTATTTTGGAGGCTTAAGCTTCCTTATTGGGGCTTAAGCTTCTATTGGCAGAGGCTATTTGCTTGTTTAGGAGGCTTAAACTTCATGATGGAGGCTTAAGCTTCCTCTCTAACAACTTGATAAGATCTCAAATCTATCTTGTTTTTGATCTACCTCTATCATCTTTTCTAGTTGTGATCTCTATCTATCCAATCTTCATCTTTGACTTCTTTTGTCAACAAATCCCTTAAAAATAGCAAAGCTGATTCAATTAAACAAAATTCAGATAATGTTCATGATTATTATATTAAACCCTAGTTTTTGACTTATTTAACTTGATATTTTATATTAATTTAGTCTATAAAATAAGATAAACTAAAGGTTTATCAAACAATTCCTAGATTTGAACATTGGTGTCCTCAACAATTAATTAGAATAAAAACTATGGGAAAGTTTGGAGATGGCTAGTTATGCTTAATGAATAACAGATAGAAAACTGATCAATAATGAGATATCCAAGTATTCTGTTTAATCACAATGATACATCGAGTTCAAACATACATTCACATTCACTAGTCATAAAATCATAACATAAGTTCTCGAAATAAAGAGTAGTTTAATGCAGTTCCACAACACCCCCCTCACTGGATTTTTATTTATTTACTCACACTTAGTGTTTAAGGGTATGCGTTTCACTCTTACATCACTGGATTAACACTACCATAAGCTTGTTTATATTCTCACTCTCCACAGTCTTACTGGTATACAAAGTCAATCAAGAGGTCTTTGTTAAGGTTGTAACGTGGCTTAGGTAAAAGTAAAGGAATTATCTGGGTAAGTGGCTTAAGATTACTGATCAAAATTCAATTTCAAAGAGGAACTTAAATATAACTATTCAACATATAGTAAACAGATTTCTCATATTTTTCTCGTCTTTTCTTCTTCCACTTATTCATATAATATGAGTCTTTTATTTCTTTTCCTTTTTCCTTTTGTTTTTTCTTTTCTGTTTTCTTTTTCCACCACTTGTGGCAATTTCCTCTTTTCACATTTTTCTTCCATATATTAGAGTTTGATTTTCTCTTTTGTTTCGATCCTATCCAGTTCCTCATTTAAATTTGAAAATTAATCAGTTCAGGTGAGGATGTGTATGGAATGGTTATTCATAATGTACTGTTAATGAACAAACAAGCCTAGGCTCAAAAGGGCTTAATCTAAGAATAAACCTTCAGGGTGGCTATTTGGCTATCTAGCTTTTAAAAGGAACTGCCTCTATCATTTCAACAATTGCATATCACAAACCATCTCAAGGAGAAACAAAACAAGTTCTAGAGTGATTCATACAGTGAAGTTCACACCACAAGAAATATTTCTGTTTAGGCTCAAAAGCTTACGGCTAAGGATGTGAGACTTATTTTTCCACTCTCTATTTGATTACTTTAGTTATTCTTCTCTTATTCCAGTGAACTATGAAGCATGCTTGACTGACGCTCATTTATATATGAAAATAAATTTATTTACATCATTAAACTCTTAATCTCAGATATCAAACAATTTCATGTAATCATTCACTGTGCATATACATCAAGCACAATGGAAAATTCAAAGAAAAGTTCACCATTTTAAAATTTCACTAAATATTTAGTGACCAAGGATGGATGGGTTCTTAAACTAATTGAAAACTTTAAATATTTAAAGTAAACTAGTATACTTGAAAACTTAAAAATAAACTTATACTTAATCAAAATAATTTCTAAAATAAATAATACGAAATATTTAAAATCATATGAAAATAATATTGAGAAACTCCCCTGAATCACTGCATTTGTAATTTGGATATTTCTGTGTAATCGGTGTAATCATGAGTTTCTCCTTCCGATCGTGTGTAGTTTGTGGTCTGATGAATTGCATGGTACCCATTCCCAGATTTTTTTTTTTTTGATAACACCCATTCCCAGATTTAAATTTTGCTGTCCTCAGCAATAAACTTAAATCTAAAAGAATCCTAAGCAAGAAATCAAAAAAAATTGATACTGTACTCTGCACACATGTCACAGATAAAGAAACTACATCAGCATGTCATATCTAAAAAAATCATAGTCATGTCAAGATCAGTCTCAATATACATCTCATATCAACTTGAACTAAAATCAACAAAAGAAAAAAAATCTAAACATTGAGACAATGGTCAATCCTCATCAATTTCAGTAATGGATGCAATATCATTTCTATCAGCATCCTGTGTAGTGTCTGCAATCATATCAGCATTAGTATTCGAGTATCCAGTATGTTTGCAAAGTTAGTGCAATTTCCACATAACAATTCCCAGATTTATATTCAGATGCATCTGAAAATAATAATGAGTATATGGAACTGAAATACTTTAACAGCATGCATAATGTCAAAGATGAGCGTGCTTAAGCGCAGTGATGCGCGCTGAGGCAGTGAGAAATGGGATAAAATTTTATTTAGCGCGCTTAAGCCTCGTCTTGGGCACTTAAGCGCGTACTGCGAATGGAACTTTTTAGTTGTGGAGCGCGCTTAAGCGCGCTCAGGCAGAGAGGAATTGTATTTTTGGGGCTTAAGCCTCCTTTAGGGGACTTAAGCTCTCTATACTTAGAAAAAAAAATTATGATTTCTCTGCATTCTTCTCCTTAAGTATTCCCTAACCTTAATGATTCCATTAAACATTATATACAAAACATATAAATCAATAAGAATTGCGTACCTGTTTATGCTTCATTCCCATATATGCCTGAAAAGTCCATCTCAACAGAATTTGATTATTAGCCTCAATGTTTTTGTTTTTATTTTTATGTAACATAATACTTAAATAAACTAAACTAGAATTAAAACTGAAAATTAAACTAAACTAAATACTGAAAACTTAAATACTGAAAACTTAAATAATGAAAACTTAAATACTGAAAACTTAAATATTGTTGGGTTGCCTCCCACAAGCGCTTGTTTTACGTCACGAGCCTGACGTACCTCTTTTACTTTCATGGTGGCTCAAAGCATGAGCTTAGTGATGACCAAGCTCCATCATTCAGAAATTGTGCCCTCCCATAGTGTTCTTGTGCATATGAGTGAGATACAGTAGCCTCAATAATTTTGAATTTGGCATTTACATGTTTTCCTTTGCTTCTGAGCTTCTCCATTTTAACATTTGGCTTACTTTCTTGAGAAGAATTCTCTTTGTGCTCTTCTTCTCCTTCCTTTTCACTAATATAGTAGACTTGATCTTCCGGTTGAATTATAGGTGAGGGGACTTCTTTATCAAAGAACTTGAAAATTGCTTGTTCTCCGTCTACCCGTAAGATCAACTCGCCTTTTGGTACATCAATCAGTGCTCCTGAAGTTGCCAAGAAGGGTCTTCCGAAGATCATAGGAACAATAGAATTTTCCTCTATATCAAGGATGACAAAATCAACAGGAATGATGAATTTGTCAACCTTTACCAGTATGTCCTCGATGATGCCATAAGCTTGCTTTGTAGAGCGGTCAGCCAGTTGCACTACTGTCTTGGTTGGCTTTACTTCAGTGATCCCCAGTTTCTTCATCATAGATAGTGGCATCACGTTGATGCTGGCACCGAGATCACATAGAACATTTTCCACTTCCACATTGCCTATGTTGCATGGAATGCTGAAGCTTCTTGGATCTTTCAGCTTTTGAGGCAACTTTTTCTAGATAATGGCACTGCATTCTTCTCTCAGAGTCACCGTCTCACATTCCTGCAGTTTCCTCTTTCTTGATAGTAAATCTTTCATGAACGTCACATAATTGGGCATGTTTTCCAAGGCTTCAGCAAACGGGATATTGATTTGCAGCTTCTTGAAAATATCAAGGAACCTGGAGTACTGTTGCTTTTGAATTTCTTCTCTGAACCTCTGTGGGTATGGAATCTTTGCATAAGGTGAGAGCTCCAATGGATTTTCCTGCCTTTCTTGAGCTTTCTTTTTCTCCCATTTGAACTCTTTCTTTTCAGGAACAATTTTCTCTACAGCAGATTCTTTAGAAACTTCCTTTTCTTTTTCCCCAATATCAGCATTGGCATCGGCTTCATCTCCTTTTTCCTTTTTCTCATTCTTTTTCTTCGCCAATGGTTGAATTACTATTCCGCTTCTAGTAGAAATTGCATTGCAGTGTTCCCTACTTAGATTTGGAATAGTGTTACCTGGAAAAGTTCCTTGAACTCTTTCAGAAATTTGCCTGGATAATTGCCCAATCTGAGTTTCAAGATTTCTGATTGATGCTTCTTGATTTCTCATTGCAGTTCGGGTTTCTTGCATAAAGGAAGTTGTCTCATTCTTGAAATCTCTGAACCTTGGATGTAGTCATTAGTTGTTCTTGAGAGTTGTGTCAAGGCTTTCTCCAGCTCAGAAGGATTACTTTGTGAAGGTTCTGACTGTTGTGGAATAGGTGGGTTGAGGTGGTGCTGAGTTGACTTATAATTGAATCCAGGGTGATTTTTCCACCTTGGATTATAAGTATCACCATATGGACTGCTTTGATTTTTCTGGAAGTTTCCTGAATTCCTCTGATCATTCCAGATCCCATTCACTGATGCTGCTTCATTTCCTCCAAGAGCTCCACAATTGGTGTTCTCATGCTCTCCACCGCAAAAGTCAAAAACTAGTGGAGTTGGCTGTGTCTGGACTGCTGATGCTTGAAACTTTTCAAACATTGATGCGAGGGATGTCAATTGTTTAGACATTGCCTTCTGTGCAGCCAACATAGCATCATTGCTTTCCAGCTGATATATCCCTTTCTTTGGCTGTGTCGAAACACTTTCATTCTCTAGAGAAGCCATAGATTCAAATAGCTCCAATGCTTGAGTGGGAGTTTTCTGTCTCAATGATCCTCCTGCAGCGGCATTGATGACCATCCTGGAAGCAGGTGCTATTCCATTAAAGAATATCTGCACCTTTGGTCCAGATTGCAATTCATATTGAGGACATCTTCTTTGCAAGTCTTTGAATCTTCTCCATGCAACACAAAGAGATTCCCCTTCTTGTTGGGTGAAATTTGAAATTTCATTGACCAACTGATTATACTTGGTCATAGGGAAGAAATTAGCCAAGAATTTAGCGGCTAAGTCATCCCATGAATCAATGCTGCCAGCAGGCTGTTGATAAAGCCACTTAAGTGCTTGTTCCTTCAAAGAAAACTGGAACAACCTCAGACGGATTGCGTCATCTGCCACCCCATTCATCTTCACTGTGTCAAATATTAACAGAAATTTATCAAGATGAAGATGAGGGTCTTCTTCTTCTCCAACAGCAAATGGATTTTTTTGAACTATAGAGAGTAGAGCTGGCTTTATTTCAAAATTATTTGCAGCAACATTTGGTCTGATGATGCTGGAGGTGTTTCTTGGCATACTCCGAGTGAGGAATGCATCCATCAACTCCTCTGGCGGATTGTTGTTGTTGTTTGCCATTGTTTCTTCCTCTCTTATCACAGAGCTTGATGCTTTTTTTTCTTGCTGTCTTCTTTCTTTGGCTAACTTTCTGTTTCTTTTTGCTGTTTTCTCTATTTCTGGGTCGAATTGCAAGGAATCAGTGTCAATAGAACCTCGCATAAACCAGAAATTAGAATATAAAAATTAAAATTAAAAACTGAATTTAAATAACAAAAAATTTAAATAGCAGAAAATAAGGTCCAATCTAAAAAATTAATAGCTACTATTAATGTTGAAGTAATAATCCCCGGCAACGGCGTCAAAAACTTGTTGCTACTCACGGCAAGTGCACTGATCGTACAAGTAATATAATGTGTTAAGTAAGAGATCGTTCCCACGAGGATTATACTCAAGCACTAATTCACTATTGCGACTTAAGTTGGACAATCAATGTTGTTGTTGGAAATAGGATTTGAATTTAAAATATTAAATAGCAAAACTAATTAATCGCAATAATTAAAAGAAAACAAGAAAGTAAAAATTTGAATAAACTGATAAAATAAAAACGTAGCTAGGGTTTCGATTTCCTTCAATCTCTTTATTACGTTTGAATTCCTTCCTTATGTTAATCGTCCTTAGTATCAATCTAATCAATTCTTTCGCATGTAATTAGGGCTCAATCCCTTGTTACCCTAAAACCTTTACAATCTTGAAAGAACCCTAGTTCCCCAGTTATTCCCCAAGAATGCAAGCATTAAGTTCAAGAATCTTAAAGATTACGCAAACTCTATGTCTATCCCTAAAATCTTAAAGCGTACGATGAAATTATCAGATAAGGATCACACACCAACATTCCTATTGTCATGCATTTACCTACGATCATTATATAAGATTCAAGCCTATATAAAGCATTAAAAACAGATAATTTCATTCATGATATAAAGGAAAATTAAAATAGTGAATTGTTCAAATCATAATAAATCGATTAAATTCCATCTAACCCTAACTACTTAAAGATTTAGCCGGACATAGCAAAACCAAGAACAAAAGAAAATAGAAAAGCTCCCCCAAACTCCATAGATGATTGGTGAATCTTCAATATCTCCAGCGCAGACTTGATTCCGATCCATCTCCGCCGCTCACGAACATGAACCGAGTGTTTCTCCTCGTTCCCTCTGCCTTCAAGCACCAAGAGTTGTTTTGCAATGTGAAAAGTTGTGTATTCTGACCCCCAAATGTGTTATTTATTGGCCAAGAGTTCGTATCCTAGTTGAATACCTCGTATGGGCCTAAGTTGGGTTTCTGGGGCGCTTAAGCTTGCTAGGACGGTGATTTTTGACTCGCGTTGCGCGCTTAAGCGCGATGGATGGCGCTTAAGCGCGCTCCTCGCGACAAAACTTTCTTCTTGTGGCGCGCTTAAGCCCTGAGTTGGGGGCTTAAGCGCCCATAGGCCGAGACTTTTTGCGTATTTTGGAGGCTTAAGCTTCCTTATTGGGGCTTAAGCTTCCATTGGCAGAGGCTATTTGCTTGTTTAGGAGGCTTAAACTTCATGATAGAGGCTTAAGCTTCCTCTCTAACAACTTGATAAGATCTCAAATCTATCTTGTTTTTTATCTACCTCTATCATCTCTTCTAGTTGTGATCTGTATCTATCCAATCTTCATCTTTGACTTCTTTTGTCAACAAATCCCTTAAAATAGCAAAGATGATTCAATTAAACAAAATTCAGATAATGTTCATGATTATTATATTAAACCCTAGTTTTTGACTTATTTAACTTGATATTTTATATTAATTTAGTCTATAAAATAAGATAAACTAAAGGTTTATCATAAGTCACTATGATATGCATGACTGATCAAACATATAGAATTCTCACAATGCAATCAACTCATCAAACCACAAAGTCTAACTTGAGTACCCCTCACACAGATATAATGTTCACTCAACACTCAAGTGTTTGGGGTATTATGATCACACATACCATCACAGCAATAAAACTACTATAGGTTTGACTATATTCTCAGGATTCTTAAAAATGAAGAATTCAGCCACATGCACCATTTGATCAAAAAGACTTTTCAAGGTTTTTAACTTGGCCTGGCTAAAGGGTAGGAATTATATGGGAAGTAGCTTAAACAACGATGAGATTGAAAAACTGAGTATATCACAATTCAAACAATTTCAACTCATAAGTCTTGCTCCACTAACTTGCCCACATAATTTCGAGAAGTCAACTCCTTTCTTGACCACTTTTATTCACAATGCTTCACATTTTTCTTTTTCTCTTTTCTTACAACAACTTTTTTCTTTTAACTTCCCCAGATCACTTATCCTTAGTGGAGCTTACCTTAGACATTTTCTCTTTTTAATCAGGAATTCAATCTCAATCAGGGTAAGTCAATATGAAAATAGGCTAAGCAATAATTAAGCAATTTCATCAACAAACAGGCTTAGGCTCAAGGGGGCTAATCAATGGAAAAATCATATGGGTGGCTATTTGGCCATGGCTATCAAGAATAAAATGCCTTAATCATCTCGATCAGTGCATGTATCACAGAGAAACAAATCAAATTCTAGAGTGTTATCACAGTGAGGCCTCTCAAGAATAACAATATTGTATAAGCTCAAACCTCACAAGCTATGGTATCAAGCTAGACTCATCAAAATTAGCATCAGGCATCATTAAAAATTCACAACACCCAATCAGACAAACGAGCAATCATGAAATCAGATCATGCCCATGCAAAGTCATGCTAGAATTATCATATGAATATGCTTCCTAAGGTTTAATCAAGCAAGTTGACTGAGGAAATCATATTTAAACCTGGGACTAACATTCAAGAACAATTTCCAAGGTTTTTTTTTTTGGAATAAAATAAAATAAAACTAAACAACTATTAAACAAAATAAACTGATAGGTTAAAATATCTCCCCTGATATAAATTGTAGTTCCACTTTTGCAGTTACGTGCATGAACAATGCCTCCCATTCCCAGATTTAGAAAATTGCTTTCCCCAGCAATAACTGAACCCAAGCGTATCACCACTGCACAATGGAACAAACAGTGGCATATAGGATAAACTATAATGCGCACGTTAAAACATCAGAGAGAGATATACTAACACAAAGTAACTAAAAATACGAAACAGAAAAATAAACTAATATACAAAATCTCCGTCAGCAAGGAGATATAATCAACCCTCCATGTCATCCCCCTCAGCAGCGTGAGATAACTCAGCAAATGGAAGATCTGGTGGTACTGGATGCTTTGGTGTATGAGATCACCATTCCCAGATTTGTTCCAAACCATGAAGCACGCTAAGAACTCTTTGAAGCTTTGGTTTTTATGAGAGATAGAGTATCGGTGTCTCTTGTCAAACTTCAGCTCCCGGTGTCTATTCCAACTTGTATCAAAGAGTTTCACCACTTCCTTTCTCAGTACCTTCTTCTTGGTTGGATTAAGCCTCCTTTGAGGCATCTTCACCTCTTTGACATCATCTTTTAGAGTTTGAGGAAGCTCTTTCAATTTCACTTTTGAGGTACCATCTTCTTTGTCATCATTTGTTTTCTCAAGAACTTCAAACACTACATTCTTTTTTCTCTTAGCAGGAACAATCTTACGCGCCTCAAGTTTTTTATCAAGCTCTTGACTAGAAAATTTTTCTTCCTTCCCCACTTGCTCGAGTCTAAAACAATCGCCTTTGCCAGAGGATTATTTCATAGAGTCAAAGACATTGATGGTAATGGACTCGTCATTCATCCTTAACTCTAGCTTCCCATTCTCAATGTCAATCATGGCACGAGATATAGCTAAGAACGGTCTACCCAACAAAAGAGGCATCTCAGCTCTCCCTTCCATGTCCAGCACCACAAAATCAGCAGGGAAGATGAACTTGTCCATCTTCATAAGAACATCTTCTATTATTCCACTAGGCTTCCTTACACACTTATCAGCAAGTTGAAGAGATGCCAAAGTAGGCTTCAACTCGGTGATCCCCAAGGAATTACAAACAGAAAGGGGCATCAAATTAATGCTAGCCCCTAGATCACATAATGCCCTGCCAATTTTTGTGTTGCCAATTTCAATTTGAATATTGAAGCTCCCTGGATCACTAAGCTTGGGTGGAAACTTCTTCTGTATTATGGTACTACACTCCTCAGTGAGTGTTACTGTTTGGCACTCTTGCAGCTTATGCTTTCTTGATAACAAGTCCTTCATGAACTTAGCATAATTGGGCATGCAAGCCAGAGCTTCAGCAAAGGGGATGTTGACATGCAATTTCTTGAATATATCAAGAAATCTGTCATAATGTTGCTTCTGAGCATCCTTCTTGAATCTTTCAGGATAGGGTGCCATGGCTCTCACATATTCAGGACTCATCTCAAACTTCTTCTTTTCAACTGGCTTCTCCACTTCAGCAGGTTTTTCAATTTCTTTTTCTTTTTCAAGCTCACCTGCAGTATCTAGCTTCTTCTCAGCTTCCACATTTATGCTCGACTTTTCTGGAGCTGTCACCACTTTGCCACTTCTAGTTGTGACAAACATACAATCTTCCTTGGGATTTGTAACTGTGTTACTAGGGAAAGTGCCTGGAGTTCTATCAGCAACTTGCTTAGCCAGCTGGCCAATTTGATTCTCCAA